TGATCAGTTTCCTTTTTTGGCTCCAATGAATTATCAGCAAGATGTAAATTATAAAAGATTTGAAGAAAGCGATCTCTTGACATGATCGCAGAGATGAAACTATTATGAAAAACATTGTCTTTACTCCAATAGAGTTTCATTTCCGGTAAGTCATTGATTGCCATCACAATAATTATTCCAAGAAACGATTCAATATCTTTTATCCTCACATCCTTCCAGCGATCAGTTTTGTTTTGACTATTCCTTCGTTGTTTCTGTTTTCCGTAAATGTTTGTTTGATCAGTAATTAGGTTCAGAATTTCTTCCGTGAAAAACCTCCTGAACACTGCAATTGGCGTTATATCCCTGAGAGAAATTGACGTAAAGCCACCATCACCAATAAAACTTTCGCTCATAGAATCAATCTCCGTTTCATCTTCATTCGAATATGCATTTGATATCTGAAGTTCATCCAAATCATCTCCTAATTCATCATAGTCGAAATCGAAGTCACTCTCGTCGCTGTCTTCACTGGTAAGTGAATCACGTGAGTCGTCGTAGACTTCATCGTTTTCTAAGGATTCCATCAGTGAAATTCCAATTACAAATAGAATAGATAAATGAAATATAGAAGTAATTTACCTTCCTTTCAAAGAACAGCTATATATATACAAGAGTAATAGAGAGTGAGAATCTTCTCGAACATTCTGGTAAAAGCACATGTCAGAGTAAGAAAGGGAAACTATGACATCATTGTACGGTCACAGAACGAAAAACGAGTGTCTGATAAGAATACATAGAGCATCACGAAAAGATATGTATAACATGACAGTTATAGCACTCCATGACCTCTATGTATAATAAGTTTTAAAACTTAAATGTAAATGAAATATTTTTCCCAACGGAAAACTAGGTCGTACAACCCTTGTACCACCGTCCTGAAAGGGTTAGATGCCGAGTAGAAGATCGCTTCAAAGGAAGAAAAAGGGGAATGCACTTTTCGAGACAAGGTCTGCTCGTCCTGTTACTGAAGAAGAGCTCATGCAAGTTCGCTTCACTAAAAAAAACCATGGACATCGATGAGTCTCTCACTAATACGTACCTAAAACTCAAAAACGGTTTGTCATGCTCTGCCACTTATTCGAATCTATGAGTACGATAATCAGCTGTGGAGCATCGATAACCGCCGTCTCTGGCTTATGAAGGAAACGGGTAAGTTCAAAGACGAAGGGTCCTATACTAAAGAACATTCAACTAGTCGATTTATTGAATTCGAGACGAAATATGCGAGTCTTCGAGGGGCATCGGGTAAAAAAAGTAAAGTTTCGTCGAAACCCAAAATACTAATGCTGTATTAATGCCAACGAAAATGGCACACTCGACGAACATTTAGCTGATCTAAGCAACCAAGAGTGCGTCATGTGTCGACAGCAAAATGTCCATCAAGATGAGAACAAATGTGGTCTGGTAATATGTATGGACGGCATTTTCCATAAAATTGACAAGGATGCAATGTTTTCTTTAACGGAAGATTGAAAATACTACTAGACACGCGACTTTTGCAGTTTAATCGATCTGGTGTTTTAATTGAGAGTGTACGACTGTGATAACAGTAAACAATAGCTACACTAAGTTCCGGAGGAATTTTTCATAAAATGGAAACACAGTGTAAATATGATACCAGTACTGTCCATATTGTTTAATAAAAATATTAGAAACTAAATATAAGATTGATTGCAGGATTTCAAGTAATTCTTCGAATAGTTCAGTCAAGAAAAATGCATCAGCTAATGGGAGTGAGTGCATTAATCAAACGAAAAGAGATCGACGTACCTATTAACGAAAAAGCAAATCAATCTGCTAGTCTCAACTCACTCTTTTCAGCAATCGATCTAGTCAAAAGTCGAATGATATATAAAATTGCACTTTGATTAATATAATTGAAAAAAATGTAGAGATAATTTTGCGGCTTGTTTCGTGGGTGTGTGTGTGGATGTCAAACTTCACTTCTTCTACACCCACACTTACACCCACACCCTGAAACTGAGATGGTGCATAACTATTTTCAAAATAATAATGAGCTGGTTTTCGAATAGATTTTCCTATACCTACAATGTGAAAACGTAGTTGTAGGCTACATAATCTTTTTACAACAGATGAACACATTGCTTCTAAACCTAGTCCACTTGAAATGAGAAAAAAGTTTTTCTTAAGAATTCTGCTTAGATCCTTGACTCTTTTTGATGGTAGTGTGTGTGAAACTGTTCGTTCGAACGAAGATTAAGAAGCTCTAGCTATCATCAAACTGAATATCAATCTGACGCTTCTATGTCTAGAATCATATTGATTCTGCAAAAAAGAACGACAATAGTACAATTCGTCGCACGATACTTGAGGGTGTGGGTGTGAATGTTGATGTGGGTGTGGGTGCGGGTGCGGACGTATGTGAGGTGTTGGTGTGGGGTGGGTGGGGATGGATGTGGTTGACGGGTTTTTTTACACAATCACACGCACATCCATGCCCACCCACATCCATCCACTTCACACCCACTCACTTCACACCCACACATCCAGATCCACGGACAGCCACCACACACTCACAATCACACCCTTTCTTTTTTATTATAGTAAGATATTTTATTGTCAGATGAATGTTATATTCTTATTATAACACAGCCCGTCATGTGGCTTCGCAACTTGACCTAGGTTGATTCATCAGTCGTGTTAGGCGACAGCAGTGTAGTACTCGAGAAGGCCTTCGATGTTCGTATGGTTCCTCTCATACGCCGTGTATGTCCTGCCTTCGTTAATTGCCCTACGAGTTCGCTATGGTCCGCTCTGTATGTACTCGTCTGGGGTTCTAGTGGGTCTTATTGACGGCGCATGTGTAAGCGAAAAGTCGAGTATCACGCGGAAAGTTTTTATTGAGCAAGTAAAAGAAACTAATTACATTTTCTTTCCAATTTTTTCAAATGTTTTTTTTTATAATTCAATAGATGCGAACGATTTTAAAGGCAATTTCTCTTGAGAAATTTCTATCGCTTGTTGAACATTTTTCATTGCCATATCATATTGTTGCGTAGCTAAATGTAATTTTGCCATTTTGTGATAGCTAATCGCTAAATCAGGATGATTTTTTGGTAGTTTACTTTTATGAATTTCTATTCCTTTTTTCAAATATACCAATGCTGTTGTATAATCTTTCATTTCTCGGTAAGTTTCGCCTAAATTTATGTATGTTGTTGCACATTCCAAAGGATTACCTTTAACACTTTTTTGAATATCTAATGCTTTTCGATGAAATATAAGTGCCTTTTCATACTCACCCATCAACCGATGAACATCACCAATATCACTATATGTTATGCTGAAATTCGAATGTCCTTCTGATAGCGTCTGTTGTCCTATTTTCAGGTACTTTTGTGAAACTCACATATATTTTCGAAGAAAATAGTGAGTGTAAGTTTTAAGTTCGAGTTTTTGCGGCTTCCCCCACCCCTTACAGACAGGCCCCCATTACAGATCTTAGCGATCAATATAAAAGATGTTAGATTTTCTAGTTCTTTTTTTTGGAAAATTGATTAAGTTATTATTTTGAAAAATAATGAATATTCATTATTTGTGACTTGATTAATGTATATCATAGTGTGTAAGATCTGTTGTAGATATCATAGATATCTACAACACACTTATTTGTCAATCAGTTCAATGATTATAATAATAAGAATGATAAATTAAGAAAAACGAATTAGAAAAAAATAAAAAAAATAATGAGCGAATAGTAACAATGAAAATAAAAAATAGGGCGCCCGTCAGAAAACGAAAAATAAAAAATTCTTTATTTTGCACCTTCTGTATTTCATATTAATATGACGAAGCTGAAGAACATATGCGAGTTCCACATTTCAGCCTCAAAGGGGCTGCGCTAACAAGCTTTTCACAATAACTCAATGTCTTTGGATAATCTTGCATACTGCGATAAACTCTTCCTAGCCAACCACATGTAAAAGAAAAAGCTGGATTACCTTCTTGAAACACTTTTTGTTGAATTTCATCAGTATTTTGAAGAGCCTTAAGAGCTGCTGTATAATCGCCTAAGTCATAATGCGTTGTACCGATGTTTTTATATGAATTAGCCAAACTGGGATGATTTTGAGCCAGAACTATCTCTGAAATTTGATGAGCTTTTCGATAACATTCAAGTGCTTTCGAATAGTCGCCCATTGCATTGTACACTCCATCGATGCAGGCGTAGAAACTAGCCAAATTAGAGTGCCTCAGAGGGAGAGCTCTTTCGCTTATTTGATGTGCTTTTTCATAATACTCAAGTGCTTTCGAGTAATCTCCCATATTGTTATATAGTAGTCCGATGCCTGTGTAGGTATTAGCTAATGAAGGATCATCTTCTGGAACAGTTTTTCGTTTGATTTCGAGTGCCTTTTCGAAAAATTTAACTGCTTCTTTGTATTCACCTTTAGTATGTTTCATCCCTCCAAGCATATGATAGATAGATTCAGTATCACTATCACTGGACGAATTGTTCAGTAATTGATTGCAGAATTCTTCTGCTTGCTTAAAATGACCCATTCTGAGCATCAGTTTACCTATTCGATGCCATTCAGTCGTTTCTTGAGTCTCGTCTCGTATGCATTTCATGAGATCACCCAGTTGTGGATCATTGTCGTCGGTGAATGCCAATTGTATCTGCCATAGACGATTGTTGTCTAGAGCCTGTTTAATTTCATCGGCGCGAAATACTGTGTGCGTAGAAAAAAGAATTTCTTGTTCGCCTTTAATTGCTGTGTATTTTTCAATCGAGGCGAATGGAATTTTAGAAGCTGAAATTTTACTTTGATCAATCGTCATAATGAAAAAAGCAGCTACAGTATCTTCAGATTTATGTAGTGCTAGTTCAACAAAGCCCATAGCAACATGTTCTTTTGTACTTGATAAGAAATTGTTGAATGAGAGCAGTCCACCTTTCGTACGACGTAGATGTTGAAAGTATTCTTGGGATAGTCCCTGTCCACGTTAGACAATGAACTTTTCCCCAAGCGTTGCTGATTGTTCTCTGTGCAACTGTTTCAGCTGCTATCAAGATGACGAATAAAGAAATCCAATTTAATCATGGCCTCTATATCTAATGATCGTAAGGCATGATTGAGCATGACATACAAGAATATTTCACATGTATACCGCCAGATCAGCGATTCCATGAAGTGTTTACGCTAATAATCTAATTCTATAGAGGAACTTTTTTCTTATTGCAATAGGTCATATGGTCATTCAATGGCTTAGTGTCGTCCTCGTCGATTTCCAGCATAATTTCTTTGAACATTACGGAATACATGAAGGACGGTGGTAATTGGTTCAGATTTTGTTGATCTGTTGCTGTTTCTGTTATCAATTGTCTTGAAACATAGCTGATCGCAATTGAATCATGGTCGCATGCCTTCGTGGCCTTTTTTAATGATTTACAGAGGACCTCAATTGAGGTAAAGATACCTTGAACCTTTGACCACTTTTTGTCCGCTCTTTTTGTCGCTCTTTATTACCACAAAAGATATAAATATAATCTAACTGATGCATGTTATGGATGTCTGGTACGAGCTGTTCACCTAAATATCCCAAGGTAATGAGAAAGACCTTTTCCAAATTGCTGGTGTTCAGATATTGGATGCATTCATCAGATTTTGTAAAAGGATTGATGTCCCTAATAATGCATTGTATTTGTATCAAATTCTTTTGCCAATCTTCTTCTGATACGTCAATTGTGCCATCGATCCAAATGAGTGAAATAAGCTTGAGCCATGCTTTGTCTTGGTTGAGTGGCATTCACTGATGTAGTTGTAGGTATGAGGCCACCCACTGTTGTTGTAATAACTGTTCCAGTCATATTTTTATATAAAATTATGTTTGCTTGTCAATTGAAAATGTGATTGTAAGGACGAAATAGAAGAGAAAAGAATCTAACTACATTATTTGCTGCATTATTTTTCTCTCCGACTTTTGCTTGATTTTTCGCTTGTATAATTACTTTAATGCCGCATGTACATGTGTAGTTTATTTTTCGTTGATTCTTTCAAAGGAAGTCGTCTTTTTCTTATATGACAAAAACGAAAAAGAAAATACACAGATGCTCTCGTTTGATTTGATGGCTTTTATTTTTCTAAAAGTGGGCATTCTGATAATATGAATGCAATGACAATCTCAAAAACACTTTGACTTACTAAATGCAATATTGCTAGTCGTTAACGAATCAACAATTCAAGGAAACAGATATTAGAGATATCAAACACGCACCATAGTTACTAAACTCACCTTTGTTCTTAATACTGATCAGGTTCATGCTTAAATGGAATAGTTCATTGATTAATGACAGAATAAAAGTGGAATGAGTCATTGAAACTAAGCTTTCTCATTAACTTTTTAAATGATGAGAATTTTATTGATGAATTTGCAATAGGGTAAATAGCAAAGTTTCGCCGATTTTCAATGCATAGAAAAAAATAGCGTAAGAATTCCTCGATAAAACAATTTTTTTCTCACAATATCATCATTTCGAAATTTGAAGGTGTGGGTGTAGATACTTTCTATCCTAACATTCATATTAAAGCCAATCCGTACCAACACCCTAATAATTGTATGTGAACATCTCTTACCAGACCCATACAAGTTTGAAATGGTAATAATCCTTCATTCTTTTTAATCTAGAATCTTTAAATCGAATAAAATATAAACTAATGTGATAAGATTTCAATTGCACACACCTGTGAACGAGATGTCAATAATAAGTGTTTTACGAAAATTTGTAAAATGATAAGGAATATGTAATTAATGAAGAAAAGTTATGTTCATGAAGATTAATTTGCCCATGTATTATAATTTAAGCAAAAAATTACAAGTTTTATTTGTTTTAATGTTTATTTAACCACAAAGACAAAAAAGATGCATAAGTTGGAGTGGTTGTGGATGTCGTTGAGTAGAGATCTGACCCACACCCTTATTAAATCAATAAATTTAATGGTTTAGTCTCTAATATATACAAGAGAACTTTGAATTAAATCCTTTTTGCCTCGATATATTCAATACGTAATGTATTTTTTAGTCTTTTTCGTTTGAAAAAAAAGAAAAATTAATTCAACGTTATTCAAAGGTAATAAAACTGATGAAATTTTACATCAAAGAAAAATATGTTTTTTAAAAAAAGAAAAAAATAATATATGAAGCAACTAATAAAATAAATTCATACATACAACTTTATTAAATAAATTAAGTTTTATTTCATTACATTTTTTCATCGATTATCTTTGTTTTACCTGCTCTCATTGAAAAAGGATAAAGAAGCATAATATAAATAATATGATCTAGATATATTTGAATATGAATTTACAAAAAAGCAGGATTTTCTTTCAAGAACTTATATTAATAAATCCAAATAATCATTGATATCATAAATATTATGCATAAGTTTATTATTCTTAAATTGGATATGAAAAATTCATAATTTATTATTTTAGTACTACTAAATTTAGTAATGTGACTGTAGTTATGTATAATCTCTTCGTTCACATCGATATAAATAATCACTTATCAATAGTCTGCAGTTCAATATTGATGAGATCAACAAGAACTTCTATATTTCTATTTGCTTGAAATACTTTGATCAATACAGATTTTAATTGATAGTGTAAAAGGTTCTTCTCGAATTATGTTAAATAATTAAATAGATTGATTGCTTTTATTTTATGCTTGATGATCATTTTTAAAGCAATTTTCATACAGAGACTCCAGCGAAGTTCGGATATAAGTTCACAACTAACAATACAATCAATACTGGAATTTACATAATACTATGTAGAATTTTTTGAAAATATTTTGTATTAATATCTATTGATTATTTTACCTTTTCAGTGGATAATTAATCAAACTCTTACATCAAAAATACCATTGACTAATAGTCGATTAAATTTTCAAATACCTACTATCTCTGTAGAAACATATTTTCACTGATTTTATTATTATCATAAACTGAAAAAATTAATATAGAGTTTATACAAGAAAACCTGGTAATCATTCTCTTTATATTCCATTGTCAACTAGAAATAAATTTTAGTTAAATAAGAAGCTATTTTCTCTTTCAGGTTGGGTGTGGATGGGTGTGGGTGGGGGTGTGGGTGTATGCGTGTGAGTATGGGTGGGGGTGTGGGTGTATGCGTGTGAGTATGGGTGGGTGTGTGGGTGTGGATGCGGATGTTGGTCTTCTCTTTCACTGACACGCAAACTCACAGTCACACTGATACCACACATCCACACCCATACCCACATCCATACCCACATCCATACCCACATCCATACCCACATCCATACCCACATCCATACCCACATCCATACCCACATCCATACCCACATCCATACCCACATCCATACCCACATCCATACCCACACACCTACACCCCACACCACACTCACACCCCACCCGCACCCACACCCCAAAGCGTTTGTTAAATTATGCAAAAGGCATTTTGCCCATGAATAATGTATTCTATAATTTATCGAATACATTCACAATCAACAAGAATACGTTGTCAGTAAAAAACGTTCTGAATCGCTTCATTAACTATTGAAATGGTTTCATTTGTGCTTTTATTTAGAAAAATAACGAATGGATTCAGTCAAAATGAGATGATTTTCTTTCATATTATCTAGAAAATCACTCAAGAACTAATTCTTCGAATTGATCAATCCATTTCAGATGATTTGACNATTCTTAACTTTGTAAATTTTACTGTAGTGATCAGTTTCCTTTTTTGGCTCCAATGAATTATCAGCAAGATGTAAATTATAAAAGATTTAAAGAAAGCGATCTCTTGACATGATCGCAGAGATGAAACTATTATGAAAAACATTGTCTTTACTCCAATAGAGTTTCATTTCCGGTAAGTCATTGATTGCCATCACAATAATTATTCCAAGAAACGATCCAATATCTTTTATCCTCACATCCTTCCAGCGATCAGTTTTGTTTTGACTGTTCCTTCGTTGTTTCTGTTTTCCGTAAATGTTTGTTTGATCAGTAATTAGGTTCAGAATTTCTTCAGTGAAAAACCTCCTGAACACTGCAATTGGCGTTATATCCCTGAGAGAAATTGACGTAAAGCCACCATCACCAATAAAACTTTCGCTCATAGAATCAATCTACATTTCATCTTCATTCGAATATGCATTTGATATCTGAAGTTCATGCAAATCATCTGCTAATTCATCATAGTCGAAATCGAAGTCACTCTCGTCGCTGTCTTCACTGGTAAGTGAATCACGTGAGTCGTCGTCGTCGACTTCATCGTTTTCTAAGGATTCCATCAGTGAAATTCCAATTACAAATAGAATAGATAAATGAAATATAAAAGTAATTTACCTTCCTTTCAAAGAACAGCTATATATATATACAAGAGTAATAGAGAGTGAGAATCTTCTCGAACATTCTGGTAAAAGCACATGTCAGAGTAAGAAAGGGAAACTATGACGTCATTGTACGGTCACAGAACGAAAAACGAATGTCTGATAAGAATACAAAGAGCATCACGAAAAGATATGTATAACATGACAGTTAGAGCACTCCATGACCTCTATGTATAATAAGTTTTAATACTTAAGTGTAAATGAAATATTTTTCCGAACGGAAAACTAGGTGGTACAACCCTTGTACCACCGTCCTGAAAGGGTTAAACAAACTTTGAATAAAATGTTTTCGGCTCTGCGAAACATTGGTTTTAGGTGGACAAGTAATACTTTATTACTGTATCATAGAGTAAAACTATTTAGTGGTCACCATCAAAAATTAGCAGACTAGACCAAGTTCTCTTTACGGCACAATGGTGATTTATTTTATTTACATGGCATGACTCTTTCGTTTTGGCAGATGA